GGTAACACACATGAAACTGAAATAATCCAATAAACATTCATTTAACAACATTAGGTGTAACACACAACCCTAATATACAAAACTGATAAGAAAAAACTAAGAAGAAACATAGTTATTTCAACAAAAAAACTTCCAATTTCAAATGTAACGCAGGGAATTCTGGGAATGTCAATTTATGGTTATTCACTGTAAATTATACGGTATTTTTCACTTCCAAAAACGGTATACTACCGTAAAATTACATGTAATGTCCAATACAGTTTTTCACCGTATATAGTAGGTGAATTTACCGTTAACCATTTAACAGGTTTTTACTGTAGCATTTTTACAGTCTTTTACCGTTAAATTCACAGTAATTTTTTACAGTGAAGCGGAGACATGGCAACAGCCGCTAATGAGGCATCTATGTATATTAAATCTACAGTGCTGGGTAGGTGACTTACAAATTGTAGTCAAATTGTCAATGTTGATTACAAATTACATGACAAAATTGTAGTTTGTGACATAATTCATTGCATTACACATTTGAAGAAATATAGCAACATTTTGATTACTTTTGGACTAACTCGTTTATCGCATTGATTTAAATAGGATAATATTGTACATTGATAAAAATACAAAGAGAAAAAAAAAATCACAATTTTCTGTGTAGTTATATCCACTTGACTAGTGACTGGTATTTGTGTGATGGAAGACTGTGAAAACTGGAAGACTTTCTGAATGCATGTAAGCAATAGGCTAATAATAGGCACGAAGATGATGATTTAGGGAAAGTCATTAAATTATGAATAATTTATTGCTATTGTGTGAATCATATGTAATCATGTTATCAATATAAAGTAACTAGTCTTATTACGAGTGTTTTGAAATGTAATATAATCTAATTACAAGTACTTATGGAATCTGATTATAATCCAGATTACATGTAATCAGTTACTACTAGGGCTGGGTAAAAAATATTGATATCTCGATATTAATCGATTAAAATTTTTACATAACGATATCGATTCTTAAATCCCAAGAATCGATTAGTCTAGCCTGTTTTCAGTTCATGGACGGAACGTTGAAGGGCACTTCCCATCCAATAAATCGCAATAAGCATTGTGCGTTGGTACGTTTAATATGAAACAAAGTCTCAGATTTCAAATTCTGTCCATACATTGTATTGCAGTATTCAAACAATAAATGCCGTTTTGGCGCTGTTTAAAATGGAGTGATAGATCGCTGTATATATAACGCCTCAGTTCAACAGAGACGCGGCAGCGCGAGGCACACGTGAACTGATTATCTCCTCCACATTAATACCAGTTCCAGCACAAAATAAACATGACTAAACATCCGAAGGTAAGTTAAAAGAAAGAGTACAACTTTACAATCCGTATCCTGTCTCATCGCTCAGTCTGTGTTTCAGCCGCTCAAAGACGTCAATATAACGGCTTGTAAACAATGTCACCTCAGAAAAACATATTCGGTGACCATAAACTCATTAGACAGATAGAAAAATAAACTGTAGAGAGGGGCATTTTGCTAAATATATGCACCATATTACATATCCATCATAAATGTTACTGTTTATCAATGTTTAATTTATGTTTGAATAAATCCATCAAGTTTTTATGACAGCCACCATTATATTTATATATATTTTTAAAAACGAATTGAAGTGGAAATATTATGTAATTGTAACTTTATTTTATAAACTTCATTAAGTGTAATTTTAACAAATCAGTCAATTTTAACCTTCAGTATTATAGTAATGTAGTAACTGACTCTTGTGTATATTTTACAGCATTAGTTGAGAGATTTTTTTACTTGAGAAAATTTGGCATGTACTGTACCTGATATACAGTATATCCAAAGTAATCGATATTGAATCTAATTGAATTGGTAATCGAATCGAATCGCAAGCTTGT